CCGAGCTGGGTCCGGGGCCAGGCGTGAGGGAGTCACGGGCTGGTGAGGAAGAGGAGGGCTTGGAGGTGGCAGCGCTGGCCACTGAGTGGGTCTGGGCAGCAGAGGGAAGAAGAGCAGCTTCAGCTGAGGGAGCAGAGCCTGGGCCAGCAGCCTCCACAGCTTGCAGGGCGCAAGGAGCTCCTGGATGGAGCTGGACAAGGACTGGCCATCCAGGTCCCCTCTCCTTTGCCCCTCACATGTCCCTGCTCTCCCCACAGCTGCAAATGCCCCATGCAAGCTTTGAATCACCCCCAACTGCCCCAGCCCTGCACTGGACACATCTGCTGCCCCCTCAAGCAAATTTCCCCTGGCACCAAGAGGATGCCTGGCATGAACTGGTCTCTCCAATCCCCACAGCTATTTCATTCCTTGCTTCTTTTTTTTTTTTTTTTCCCTGCCTGCCTCTCCTATTTCTTCTGCTTTTTTTTCTGTCTGGGGATTTTGTCGACACCAGCAAAGGAGAGAGAAAAAAAAAATTAATAACAGAGAAAAGCTCCGTGCTGTGCTGGCAGATTGCTCAGGGCGCTTTGTCTGCTCTAATCCGATTGTGCTGGGGAGCTGCTGCTCGCTGCTGCCCACAGCCCCCAGCTGGCTCCTGACCCCAGATGGGGGGACAGATCACTTGGTCCCTGCGGTGGCTGGGAGGCCAAGGAGTGGCAGAAACATCCCTCCCTCCCCCTTCCCACATGCTGATGTTTCAATCTGAGCGCTGGACTGGTGCTTGGCAAGGAAAAGGGAAAAAAAAAAATACACACAGAAGCAGCAAAAAAAAAAAAAGAAAAAAAAAAAGGAAAAATCAATTGCTGTGAGCAGCTCTGGGGAATCCTGCAGGCAGATGGGTGGAGAGCACTGCAGAGCTGGGCTGTGCCCAGCAGCGCTCGCCCTGCCCCGAGGGCACGGATCTGTCCCCGGGTGGAGGTGCCAACGGGCACAAACCCAGCATTCCTATCCGGCTGTATATGGCATTCCAGACTGGCCATAATGAGAAATTCNCCAGCAGGGCGTCGGGGGGGAAAGGCACCGGCTGCATCTGCCCGTCTGCACTGACGTGGAAGGAGTAGGCACTGCAAGGGAGCACAGCAGTGAGAACAGAGCAGGATCCTGCAGGGGCAGGTGCCATGCAGGTCCAACACAGGCAGCAGGGTCTGGAGGCAGAGGACATGGAAGGAGAAGGCACTGGAAGGGAGCCGAACAATGAGAAGCAGAGCAACAAGAACCAGAGCAGAATCCTGCACGGGCAGGTGCCATGCAGGTCTAACACAGACAGGATGGTCTGGAGGCAGAGGGCATGGAAGGATAAAGTACTGGAAGGGAGCAGAGTTGAGAGAAAAAGAGCAGTGAGAAGCAGAGCAGAATCCTGTGTAGGCAGATGCCATACAGGTCTAACAGAGGGAGCATGTTTTGGAGGCAGAGGACATGGAAGGAGAAGGCACTGGAAGGGAGCACAGCAGTGAGGAACACAGCAGGATCCTGGGTGGGCAGGTGCCATGCAGGTCCAACACAGGCAGCAGGGTCTGGAGGCAGAGGGCATGGAAGGAGAAGGTACTAGATGGGAGCAGAGCAGTGAGAAGCAGAGCAATGGGAAGAAGAGCGGAATCCTGTGTAGACAGGGGCTGGTGCCATGTGGTTCCAACAGGCACCATGGGCACGTGGCACAAACAGCAGCATGTTTTGGAGTCAGAGGTCATGGAAGGAGAAGGCACTAGAAGGGAGCAGAGCAGGATCCTGCATGAACAGGAGCCACACAGGTCCAAAACAGGCAGCACAGTCTGGAGGCAGAGGACATGGAAGGAGAAGGCACTGGAAGAAAGCAGAATGGTGAGAAACAGCAGAATCCTGAGTGGGCAGGTGCCATGCAGGTCTAACACAGGCAGCACAGTTTGGAGGCATAGCCATGAGCAGATGCCAGCTGGGCACACAACAACCACAGCCCAGCTTTCCCTCAGGCTCTGCTCCCTGCTGCCCTCAGCTTGTCCACAGAGCCCAAATTCACCCCCAGAAGCCACCACATCCCCTCCTCCCTCAGCACAGCCCTCATCCAGCATTGTTTGGAGTCAGAGCCACGGAAGGAGATGGCACAGAAGGGAGCAGAAGAGAGGATTAAACCACCCCTGTGTGATGCCCAAGGGCAGCAGGTGATCTCTCTGTTAGCCACGCTCTAGCCAAGGTGGAATGTGCCCAAGGCAAGGTGGAATGTGCCCAAACCAAAAGGTGGAAGGTGCCCATTATGCCCTGGCTAATGAGGGGTTTAATTACCCAGCTCCAGCTGCCAGGAATGAAATGGCAGAGCTGGATTCAGGATTGGAGAGCAGCTCCCCCTCAGGTGAGCCCTTGGGAGGGAGATGCTCCCAGCTCCCACCTCAGCCCCTTGTCCCCACCCTCCCTGCAGCCACTTACGCTTTCCCTCCAGGGATGGTGGGGAATGAAGAGGAGAGGGTGGAGGCCCTCAGGTGAGGGTGAGACTCAAATGCCACCTGCACAAAGCAAAGGGCACGTGAGGAGCAGAGCAGAGGACACCAAAGCTGAGCTCTGGCCTTTCCCTGCACACCCTGAGACCAGCCTGGCTCTGTGCAAGCCCCCTCCTCACATACAGTGACAAAGACCAAAATGGGTTCCCACAAACACCAGTGGAAGAAGCAGAGCCTTCTCTGAAGATTCCACCAACCCCACATCCCACCAAGCTGTGCAAGGGAGCCTTTTCTATGGCTGCAAGCCCAGGTGGTGCCCAGGCAGCAGAGCCAGCACACCCAGACCCCTCCTCAGTGACTCACCAGGGGTGAGCGGCCGTGGAGCAGC